AGTGGTGCTACACTCTTTTAATTTTGTATTCTTAATTTTGCTTGTAATGTCGTTTGCTCACTTTCCTGTGAAGTGATTTTAAACTTTAAAAAAAGTCAATTAGTTATTATTAATTGTCACTTCATTAAAAATGTAATTATGAGCAGTTAAATAGGAAATGAAGCATTTCTCTACCAACATTAGGCATCCAATCAATTATGCCATATGTATTTGATTTGATTTGATTTTTGGGAGTGTTTATTCACCAAAACAGTATTAGATCACCACACACGATGTGGTGCTAACATTGGCATTGTTGAAAAAAAAAAAAAAATTATGGTGATTTTAATAAGAAATTAAAGTAAGTAATTATTGGTTAAGATAGGGTTAAATGAGTTTAGATTCTTTGTAATAAAATTTTTATATCACAAAAATAATGATAAAAAATCATTAAGAATTGAATGAGAAATTGTCTCATAAAATTAGCTTTATGAATGAGATATTGAGAATTGTGTATAACTATTAATCCCAAATTAATTGTAAAGAAAAACTTTGATGAGTATTTAAACCTCAAGATTTTGATAAGGGCATGAGCCCTTTAGGGCATCCAAATTTTTCGAAGGAAGGGAGTTTTGGATGCTTCAAGGATGAGTTTAGGCCAAGACTATGGTCTAAGTTGATTATGCAAAAACTGCCACACACGCGCCGCCCGCCTAGACCGGACCGGGTAGTGGATTTTGGATCTTGGGTTGGACTGAATTGGTGGTCCACTAACCTAATCTTTTTGGATCAGGTCTGCTGTAGATATGTATATATACTCATGTGTATTATTGTGTGTATGCTTTCATGACTGAAGGCTCCTCTTCTCTCTTCCATGGTGTATAAATAGAGACCAACTTCTTTGGTTGTCAACACAAAATTTTTGCTTCTAGAATATATAGTCAGTTTTGCTCCTATAATTTTCTTCCTATATGAGGGAGTGCTGTTATTATCGGTTCGCCAAAACTAACAGAAGGTGCTTCTGCGTTAGTCGGTCTAAACCGGCGTGTCCTGGGAGACAGAAGTTGACGTACTTCCAGCACCCACGGTGAGGCGGCTAATCTATTTTAAAGAGACTGTAGTATCACAAAGGTTTCAGTTTGCGCTTCTTTTCCTTAATTTTGTTTTATGCATTTCGGTTTATTAAGTTGTATGGTGTAATCTCATGATTTCTTTTCTGTAAATCAATTTCATTTCGTATAAATTTGTTTCTCTATTTTATTTAATTACACAATTTAACAACATGCATTTCCATAACAAATAATAATGAGATTTTATTAAATTTATACATTATTTTATTTTATTTTTTTCAATGAGTGAGATATAATATTATAATTATCATGAGATTTATATCAAAGTGACTTATAAATTTACAATCAACAACTAAATTCTATCCATCCAATAATAAAGACAAACAAACAATTGAATTTACAATCTATAAATCTAACACTATCAATTCAACCAATGAAAAGAAATAACCAACAAATAAGTTCCATAATGGAAAATAAACTATCAATTGATTCAATTCTTGCTTTTTATATCACTTAAGAGTGTACAAGAATAATAAAAAAATAAAATAAAACATTTTAAAAATTTTAAAAATACAAAGAATTTCATATGATTTGAGGAGGGATACAATTACAATTTAATTAGGAATAAACAATACATATTTTTATGTATAGGGTAATAGTATAATCAGTGGCGGAGCCACCATGTGACCAGGAGGGTCACGTGCCCTTTCTGGATTTTATTTTTTATTTTTTATTTTTACATATGTATATAATAAAATTTTAAACAAAAATAATATCTAGAATAAAATATTAAGGGCATTTTTAAATTTATGAAAACAATAGTGATTGTTTTATTGAAAATGAAGTGACTATAACAAAAATATATTTTTATGTATGAAACTTTTGTTAAAAAATCTCAATATAAAAGTAATATCCATTATTGTTGATATACAAATATAATTAATCTCACTATATATATTTAAAAATTACTAGAGTATTAGTTATATTTGCATGTAGAGTTCACCTTTCATATGTTGTTTTACTATTGGTTGGGTGATATCATATGTTAATAATGACGTAATATCACTATTATATGAATTTTTTACTCAAATTTTGTAAAAATTTGATTTATCTTACCATTATATAATTTATTTTAAGACTTAAATATATGACTTTTTTACATTGTCCATGATACACTAGTTACATTCAATATTTTTTTCGATTTTACTCGAAATTAATTGTAAAATTTTATGTGAAATACTTTTGTAATAATTTATTTAAATTTTTGTACTTAATATTAATTCAAAAATTGTTATTATCTTCTTATTGTTGGTTATGAAAAAAAAAAAATTAAAGTTGTAATCAATAAGTGTCTCTTCTGATTTAGTTTCCTAACTCCGCCACTGAGTATAATTATCAAATCTTTTGGAGGGACCATCTCGTCCTTGGGTGGCTTCGTTTCTGGGTGCTAATACCTTGTGTTTGTATTTATGATTATTATTTTTTGTTCCTTTTTAATCTTAGAATTCTAGCATGACCAACTATTTTCACAGTAAAACAATTAGTAAACGAAAGTATTCATAAATATCACATTAGGTTTGATTATGCAAGTATTTTTCAATCAAAAAAAAAAAAAGAAAAAAGAAAAAAGAAAGAGGGAAATTAATTATGGCACCACTCTAAATCATGCATCACATTGAAGGTTGCAACATTTATCTCCACTCTTACTTTTATCATATGGAATGCAATGTGATCATCATTATTCATTTTTTCCCTTCTCTTTTTAGGGTCTCAAACTCTAAAATTTTTTGGCCGAAAATGGTAGTTGTCAGATTATAAACCATTCAATGCTCATTTCCTGGGTATTAATGAAAATAGAATCTTCTTCCAATATATCTATAGTACCATATATATAATGTGAACGCTCTATTTAATGCGAACACCAATTTGATGTTGTGTCATGTCAATAACCATAAGGGCAAAAAGAAAAAGAAAAGGAAAAAAAAAAACCTAACTAAACATCAATTCTTCACATCCATCTTTTTAATTCCTTACCCTAGTACAAATGGAAATGTTTTTAACTCATCTCTCACAAATCTTAATCACCCAATTTTAATAGAACGTTGTTATATATCTACATAATTTTATTCCTTATCTTAATATGTTCGAATAAGACTTTGACTGGTAATAGTCTCTTGTTTTGCAAACTCTTATCGGTCAGAATCTCATTCGGACAGATGGATGAAATTTTTTTCTGTGAATGAATCATTAATCATCTTATTATTTGACTCTCAAATCCCAATTCAAACAAGAAGAAAGGAGATGGAAGGGAATGAAGAAGCACAGGAGTAGAGAGTAGATGTTTTGCAATCTTGTGTACAGTCGCTAATGTTTAATAATTTGTAGAAAGTAACTCAAATTCCCACAATTTTATATTTTGTAAAAGATATAATTTGTTTCTCAGTCCAAGAAAAGATGAATCCTAGGCCATATTTGGATGGTAGTTTATATTATAAGGCTGGAGTAGAGTCTAGAGTATGTATGGACCCCCAAATTTCTTTCTTACCAACAACTTGTTTGCCGAATGCTGAACTCCTTTGGTCTAATAAACAAATGATGGGGAAATATTTTTATTCTTATCCCATGGAAAAGCAAGAATTACCATGCTTAGTGGTTGTGCTAAGACTGATTTGAGGGTTCTAGTACTTGTTCATTTGAAAAAATTCTGATGTGATTTTTCACAACACTGCCATGTATCATGCATGTGATTCCTGTAGATATTGTATTTGGGTAAGAAAATTAAATTAATAGATAGATAAAACACAAGTTTGATATATATTCTAGTTCTTGTAATTTGTTTCTCTGTGTCAATTTAATCTCCTATGTTCTAATACATCAATTTTCCCTTTGATTTTTCTTAAAATTGTATTAATTTTTAGTTTAATTGATAAGTCCTATTTAGAAACAAGACTCATACTACAATTAAAGGGTAAACTCTCTCTAAGTTTGGTGTTCGAGGTTACATGTTATCTCATTTTTTTCCCTTCATTTTTGCTTCTCGAGTTTGTTAAATATGAGATGTTGTATATAATCTTATTGTTATGATTGATAAATAAACTATATGTAAGTGGGTATAATCAAACTTTGATTTCATGTCTAACTCCACTGTCACTACAAGAAAACTTTGATAAATAATTTCAAGTATTTTATGCATTAATCTCTTGCACTTGATTTTAGAAAAAATGGGACAGTGGTAGTATATATTTGTCAATCTAACTGAAGTAACCAATCTAGAAACTATAGGAACTACATGAGTAAACAATCCTTTTTCTTCACATTCTTCTTCCTCTCCTCTTACGATGTTGCATACCATGTTCTTTCTAAGGTAGCTAAACCTAAACCTACACATTGCCACCTTATTTGATTGATTTTCAGAAGGTGGCTCTTCCAAAAGAATAGACTTTGGTTTGGCTGTATATCCATGTTTTAGTTTTCAGCTTACATAAGACTCGAGCCATGTTATCTAATTGACCCAATTGGTTTCCGTTAGCATGGCATACTTAAGTATGTCTAAACAGAATCACTCAAGTTGGAAATTGATATTTTTTTTATATATTTATTCCTGGCTAATGTCCCTATTATTTAATTACATAACAAGCAGGCAACTTAGTATGACTGCATTTATCTTAACATTCACAGTTGAGGGAGCAAAATTGGCACAATATTGGTGGGGCCAATATTTGTAATTTTTTAAGAAACCCAGTTTGCAAGAAGTCTACCCAAGAGAAATTTTGAGACTCAGGAGGGGCCACGGCCCCCCTTCATCCAAACATAGGCCCACCCCTAGATCCATCTTTTGAGTTGACAGTTTGCATAATGCTCACTGGTTGATTATTTAATTCGATCCTCAGTTCCAATATTGAGACAAAAAATGCAGTCATAAATAAATAACTAATATGAAACTCCTAACAGGATCCAGTAATAGGTGGCAGCTTACTGTTGACATACACAACTGGCTATGTTGCTCCTCTACTTCTAGCTGCTTCTTTTGCAGGAGCATTGCAGGTATACTCTTTTTTCACTATGTAAAATCTCGTATGTGAACTCATGATGTGCATAATTTACTGCTGCTTTTCCCCTCCTTTCCGAGGTATATATAGATAGTGCATTGGGGGCCAGGGCCAAAATTATGATTGTTCCAACGGCTTAGTGTACTTAGCCAATGATTTGGCAGGGCCTACTAGGGAGACACTGGGACTATGCCCAGATCCTCCTACCATCAGTAGGTGGAGGCCAAATCCGTGCCATCATTGATAAACTGTTTGCCACTCTGTTCGTTCTTACTCCTACACTTTTTGTTTGTCTAATTTTTATTGTTCGTTTGTATCTTGGGCAATTTCTAACACATTGTCTGCAGAGCCTGCTTCTAGGATTTGTCAATGGATTCTTGGTATGGGAACTGACTAACCTGTGGGGCCTTCAGGTTTTTGTTAGAAAAGTTATCGAGCTTCATGACAAGTACATGGCGTACGTAAATAACTGTTTTATGAACCATACTCTTTTCCACAAGGTTTGTATTAAACAATTGCTGCATAGTCGTGGTTTCCTTCCTATTATTCATGTATTAAAATCTCCTTTGTTTGCCTTAGGCACTCAAAGAGGCTTTTGAAGTCTTCTGTAACAAAGGTGTTGGTGGAAGCTCGAGTGCAGAACTACTAGCCACATTTTGTGATAATATTCTTAAGAAAGGTGGGAGTGAGAAATTGAGTGATGAAGCCATTGAGGAAACACTTGAGAAGGTATGCTTCTATCTTTCATAGCATTTGCTTTGACTTATTGTTGAGAATGAGATACGAATAGTTGCAATTGGATTTCTTTTTATTCTACAGGTAGTAAAGCTCCTTGCTTATATTAGTGATAAGGATTTGTTCGCTGAATTCTACCGGTAATTTTATTTAATTTTTTGTTGGTTTTCAAGTGATTACAGAATATTGTGATTGGATGATTCATAGATACTTATTTTTTGTTGCAATGATTGGCAGAAAAAAGCTTGCTCGACGCTTACTTTTTGACAAGAGTGCCAATGATGAGCATGAGAGAAGTATCCTGACAAAGCTGAAGCAGCAGTGTGGTGGTCAGTTCACATCAAAGATGGAAGGAATGGTGAGTTGTCTACAACCTGTATTAATTTGCAAGCCATGCTTTAATGTAGTTTTGGGATACTGGCAGAAATAATTATTTTCTTGCTTTGCTGTTTTCCAGGTCACAGATTTGACTTTGGCAAGGGAAAATCAAACTAACTTTGAAAAGTACCTCAAAACCAATCCAGATGCAAGTCTTAGGATTGACCTGACTGTTACTGTCCTAACTACTGGCTTTTGGCCTAGTTACAAGTCTTTTGACCTCAACCTCCCAGCAAAAATGGTAATGCTTGTAGATTTTTATTCGCACATAGATTGAAATTTTGAAATTGTTTCTTTTAATGTGAATTTATGTCATATGCTGTGTTGCTGAACATTCCCACTGACGTCAATCTATTTATTCACTTCTGCTCTAGGTTAAGTGTGTGGAAGTTTTCAGAGAATTCTATCAAACAAAAACAAAACACAGAAAACTTACATGGATTTATTCATTGGGTACTTGTAACCTCAATGGAAAATTTGAACTCAAAACTATGGAGCTCATTGTGACAACCTGCCAGGTATTTTGTTGAAGAAACTTATTTTAATGTAATGCATGGATTTATGATTCTTAACGCAGAGGTTTGAGCTTTAGCATTTCATCAATACAGGCTTCTGTGCTGCTGCTTTTTAATGCCTCAGACAGATTGAGTTATCAGGAAATCAAGACTCAATTAAACTTGACAGATGATGATGTTGTTAGGCTGCTCCATTCTCTTTCATGTGCAAAGTATAAGATTCTTAACAAAGAACCAAACAACAAAACAATCTCTCCAACGGATCCATATTAGTGTGCTTTCTATTCCTTTTTAATTTTTTGGGGAAAATTACACTTCTTGACCATTTTGATTTTAATTGATGTGTTTAAAATCTGAATTGTTTCTATTCTTAGGTATACAATGCATTATTTTTTTATTTTTAATTTTGTTTTCAAGCTTAGTTTATTTATTATTTTAATAACATTGTTTGACAGGTATTTTTTTTGTTCAATCATATTAAATTAGCACTATTTAAAAATTAAAAAAAAAGGTTGTGGCGGCGTTTAAAAAACGTCACTATATCCCACTTAATGGCTAGATTTTAAAATGTATAAATGTCTATGATGGCGTTTTAAAAACGTCGCTAAATGTCCATAATGACGTCATAATACAGCTAGGTAGGACATTTGGCGGCGTTTTAAAAAACGCCGCATATACTAATATAACGACGTTTTTCAAACGCCATAAAGTTATAGCGACGGCCGCGTCGTCGGCGTTTGCACTAAACGTCACAAAAAGAATTAGCGACGTTTTTAGTACTTTTAGCGGCGTTTTTTAAACGCCACTAAAAGTGAATTTTCCAGCAGTGTAGATTACCACGCACGATGTGGTGCTAACATTGGCATTGTTGAAAAAAAAATTTTTTATGGTAATTGTAATAAGAAATTAAAGTAGGTTTTAATTATTAGTTAAGATAAGAGTAAATGAGTTTAGATTTTTTGTAACAAAATTTTTATACTACAAAAATAATGATAAAAAATCATTAAGAATTGAATGAAAAATTGTCTCATAAAATTAGCTTCATGAATGAGGTATTGAAAATTGTGTATAACTACTAATCCCAAATTAATTGTAAAGAAAAACTTTGATGGATATTTAAACCTCAAGATTTTGATAAGGGCATGAACCCTTTGGGGCATCCAAATTTTCTTAAGGAATGGAGTTTTGGATGCTTCAAGGATGAGTTTGGGCCAAGACTATGGTCTAAGTTGATTATGCAAAAATTGCCACATGCGCGCCGCCCGCCCAAACCGGACCGGGTCGTGGATTTTGGATCTTGGGCTGGGCCGAATTAGTAGTCCACTAACCTAATCTTTTTGGATCAGGCCTGCTGCAGATATGTATATATACTCATGTGTATTATTGTGTGTATGCCTTCATGACTGAAGGCTCCTCTTCTCTCTCCCATGGTGTATAAATAAAGACCAACTTCTTTGGTTGTTAACACAGAATTTTTGCTTCTAGAATATATAGTCAGTTTTGCTCCTATAAATTTCTTCCTGTATGAGAGAGTGCTATCATTGTCGGTTTGCCAAAGTTAACAGAAGGTGTTTCTACGTTAGTCGGTCTAAACTGTCTTGTTTTGGGAGATAGAAGTTGACGTACCTCTAGCACCCATGGTGAAGCGGCTAATCTATTTTAAGGAGACTGTAGTATCACAAAGGCTTCAGTTTGCACTTCTTTTCCTTAATTTTGTTTTATGTATTTCGGTTTATTAAGTTGTATGGTGTAATCCCATGATTTCTTTTCTGTAAATCAATTTCATTTCGTATGAATTTGTTTGTCTCCTTTATTTAATTACACAATTTAACAACAGGCATTTCCATAACAAATAATAATGAGATTTTACTAAATTTATACATTATTTTATTTTATTTTTTTCAATGAGTGAGATATAATATTATAATTATCATGAGATTTATATCAAAGTGACTTATAAATTTACAATCAACAACTAAATTCTATCCATCCAATAATAAAGACAAACAGACAATTGAATTTACAATCTATAAATCTAACACTATTAATTCAACCAATGAAAAGAAATAACCAACAAATAAACTCCATAATGGAAAATAAACTATCAATTGATTCAATTCTTGCTTTTTATATCACTTAAGAGTGTACATGAATAATCAAAAGAATATAATAAAACATTTTAAAGATTTTAAAAATACACAGAATTTCATATGATTTGAGGAGGGATACAATTACAATTTAATTAGGAATAAACAATACATATTTTTATGTAGAGGGTAATGGAATAATCAATAAATCATTCTAAACAAGGTATAAAAAAAATAATATAAAACATATATACAGGAAATTTACTATACACACCCCTATCCAGTGGCGGAGCCACCATGTGACCAGGGGGTCATGTGCCCCCTGGTTTTTTTGTTATTATTTTTTTACATATGTATATAATAAAATTTTAAACAAAAATAATATTTAGAATAAAATGTCAAGGACATTTTTAAATTTATAAAAACAATAGTGATTGTTTTATTGAAAATGAAGTGACTAACAAAAATATATTTTTATGTATGAAACTTTTGTTAAAAAATCTCAATATAAAAGTAATATCCATTATTATTGATATATAAATATAATTAATCTCATTATATATATGTAAAAATTACTAGAGTATTAGTTATATTTACATGTAGAGTTCACATTTCATATGTTATTTTACTATTGGTTGGTGATATCATATGTCAATAATGACGTAATATCACTATTATATGAAATTTTTACTCAAATTTTGTAAAAATTTTATTTATCTTACCATTATATAATTTATTTTAAGATTTAAATATATGACTTTTTTACATTGTCAATGATATACTAGTTACATGCAATACTTTTTTTCGATTTTACTTGAAATTAATTGTAAAATTTTATGTGAAATACTTTTGTAATAATTTATTTAAATTTTTGTACTTAATATTAATTTAAAAATTATTATTATCTTCTTATTGTTAGTTATGAAAAAAAAAATTAAAATTATAATCAATAAATATTCATTCTGATTTAATTTCTTGATTCCGCCAGGAAGTATAATCATTAAATCTTTTGGAGGGACCATCTCGTCCTTGGGTGGCTTCGTTGTTGGGTGCTAATACTTGTGTTTGTATTTATGATTATTATTATTTGTCCCTTTTCAATCTTAGAATTCTAGCATGACCAACTATTTTCACAGTAAAATAATTAGTAAATAAAAGTATTCATAAATATGACATTAGCTTTCATTATGCAAGTATTTTTCAATTAAAAAAAAAGAGAAAAAGAAAGAGAGAAATTAATTATGGCACCACTCTAAATCATGCATCATATTGAAGGCTGCAACATTTATCTCCACTCTTTGACTTTTATCAAATGGAATGCAATGTGATCATCATTGTTCATTTTTTCCCTTCTCTTTTTAGGGTCTCAAACTCTAAATTTTTTGGCCGGAAATGGCAGTTGTCAGATTGTAAACAATGCAATGCTCATTTCCTGGGTATTAATGAAAATAGAATCTTATTCCAATATATCTATAATACTATATTGTTAACTATATATTTTGTATAAGTCAATTATAATTCGACACGTGATAGAATAAGGGTAATACAGGAAGACTATTCAAGTCTTCGATCATGATCGTACACGTGACAATTAGTATTGATTATTACGAGATCTGAGTAGCATTGGATCAGCAAAGAGATGCAAAGTGATGTGACTTTAATGGTTACTCACATTCAAATTCAAAATTAGGAGGGAAGCCTAATTGCAAGTGATGGCATAATGAAACTAATTACAAGGCAACATGATCAGCGATCATGGAGGAGTAGTTCGACAGTTGAAAATACAGTTCGATGGTCATCCTTGAGAAGTATAAATAGCAGAGAAGGCCCCAGAAAAAAGCCCAGACTCATATCCAAAAAATCAGTCTTATTCTACTTTATTTCCTTTCCAGTTTTTACATTTCCTGTTCTTTACATTTCTGCACTGTATTTCATTCATAGGAGTAGATTTCAAGTAGATTGTTACTGTAAACCTCTACGAGGCTGATTCAGATATTTGTAAGTCTTTCATTTTGCATAATGAAATACTTCAACTGTTCTTTATTTACCCATTGTTCGTTTAATTCTTCTAACAAAGTCACCAGTAAAAGTCCTTTTCATTGAGGCTGAAAGAACTAAAACACAATCGTATGATAATTGGTTGGCAATTGAATTTCTGTAAAGACTGATTGATTCTTGCTGGCACGCTCATAATTACAATAATAACCTTCGAAAGCCAAAAAGCCAACATATATTTTTGGCACGCCCAGTGGGACTAATTGAAATGGCTAGACGTAGGAGATAAGGAGAAAATGAACGCTTGGAAGAAGGCGTGGAAGGAGAGGTAGAAGTGCCTAATCCAGAGGATAATGTGATAACACATCCTGTGGAAACACCCAGTTTATCAGAACGTATGGTCGAACAGACCAGCACTTCAGAACAAGTACCACATGTTCATAATATTGGACGAAGTCAAGGAATTGGACCATCCATTGTTCCATCTACTCAGCCAATAAATCCATGGGGTGGCCTAGTAGATGTTATGGGACAACAATTAATGAATACAATGGAAAACTGCACAACATTCTTTTTGGATCGAATGAATACCCACCAACCAACAAACACAAGTCACATGGAGGAAATTTCAAATGTCTCTCAGCAAAGATTAGTTAGAGATAAACAGCCTATGCAAATTAATGGACATTCTAATGGCCAAACTAGCAATCAAAACTATGAAAGACCATCACCTCAGTCTTGGTATGAACCTATTTCGAGGCCTATAGCAGGTCAAAATGTCTCAGTACTTAACAGTGAAGCCATGCAAATTGGTGGATCTGGCCCAGGACAAGAAAATGGCATAAGAATGGTTCCAAATCCCATGTTCGAAGCCATACTTGGCACGAGGGGGTTCACTAATCCATTATTCGAATTTACACCCGAGGGGTTGGAAGGTTTTCCTACAAATGGAAGAGACACAACACCAGTTCCAGCACCTTTCGCAGGACAGGCTCAAAGGGGTTACCCACACCCCCAACAGCAACCGGCACCACAGGGACAACCAATCCCAAATATACCACCTTATGGACCAAGAGGAACCCAGGCACAAGGTTGTCCACCAAACCCTCCCTGTGTTCGTCTCTCCAGTAGTGGTTCAGCAAGCACAAAATATGGTCCCTAGGGACCCAATTGCTGACATTGTTAGAGAGATGTGTGGACCGATGG